ACAACACAAAACAATACATAATTTAAAAGCACAACAAACACAACAATCATACCATTCGAGATAGGGGCAACGATTCTTTAGCCCCAGGCCTGTTGGAACAGCCAGGTTTTAAGGGCTTTGCGGAAGGCCTGGAGGGTGGTGAGGGTGCGAATCTCCACGGGGAGTTCGTTCCAGAGGGTCGGAGCAGCCACAGAGAAGGCCCTCCTCCGGGTAGTCGCCAGTCGACACTGGCCGGCGGATGGAATTCGGAGGAGGCCTAGTCTGTGGGACCTTGATAGAGAAACATCTGCCACTCTATAGGATTGAACTCTCAATCTTCCAAATGGGAGGCAAGCGCTTTCACCACTAGGCCAGCATAGCTAAATGTCTATGGAGATTCTCAGCCATCCAAGTCATGGTTATCCCCAAGGTGCTTTTTTCAAAAGGCAACTGAACTTTCTTGGGGTTTTTCCTTGAAAACTGGTTTGGAAGAGGGGTCAAAGAGGCCATCTGAGTTTAAATTGAACAGCCCTCTCTCAACAGAAGATACACCACCACCTGTCTCCTGTCTACAACATGGTCCTTAGAGCAGTTCCAAGAAGGTTCCACACCAATTTGCACAATTCAGATGACTTTGAGGGCACAGCTAAACCTTGAAGTGGCCTCAATGGCTCTCAGAAAGAGTGCTACTCACCAGATGACTGAAAGGAATATAGCATATTTTTCGGAGTATGACACACCTTTTGCCCCCCCCAAAAAGAGGGTGAAAATGTGGGTGCGTCTTATACACCGAATACAGCATTTTTAGCCTCCTGAAACCCCGCCCCTTTGCAAAAATGGCTGTGCATAGCCTTTAGGGGGCTTCCAGAGTGCTCTTGGGGGTTGAGGGCAAAAATGAGTGAAAAACAGTCCATTTTGTTTGCTCATTTTTGCCCCCACAGCTGCCAGGACCACTCTATAAGTCTCCTAAAGGCTATGCATGCTATATTGTTTTTGACAAAAAGCAGGCCGTTTTATGCTCGTTTTTTGTGCCCCCCAACTCCCTGGAGCACTCAACAAGCCTCCTAATGCATGCCCCCTTTTTTATGAAAAACTGGCTGGTTTTTGCGAAAAACGGGTCATTTTTCAGAGGTCTGCAGAGTGCAAAAACTTTTTTTTATTAATATGCCTCTTCAAAATCTTGGTGCGTCTTATACTCTGAAAAATATGGTAAATCCCTCCTTCCTCCCATCATTCATCCAGAACTGAAGAAGCTTCTGGATGAGAAGTGAAACCTCTTCAAGGCAAGTCCAGTTGTCTTTTGAAAAAGCACATTAGGGATTAACTTAAGCGTTTCTTAACTATAACTAGATTCTCAAACATTTCTTAAGTTTTTACAATTGATTATGGGCCATCGTCCTTGTCGCTGCATAGTAACTACATGGACAGATTTCCTATATAATTTATCCCCAAATTGGGCCTTCAGATCTTCTAAGGATGACTTCACCACCTCTGTAACTGTTGTTGCTGTTCAGTTGTCTTTTTCTTCCCTTCCATCTTTCTTCCATGTCTGATCTGTTAATTGATTGAGAGATTATGTGTCATCAAGTCAGTTTTGACTCTCAGTGACCACATAGACACATTTTCTCTGGTCCTTCAGCTACAGGTAATCCTTGACTGACAATCATTTGTTTAGTGACCATTCAAAATTACAACAGCGCTGAAAAAAGTAACTTATGACCACTTTTCACATTTATGACCATTGCAGCATCCCCGTGGTCGCAATCAAAATTCAGTAGTTTGTGGCAACTGGCTCATATTAATGATAATTGCAGTGTCCTAGGGGCATGTGTTCACTTTTTGTGATCTGCCGAACAGTTGAATGGAGAGCCAGATTCACTTAACAACTGTGTCAAGAAAGGTTGTAAATTGGGATAAAACTTATTTAACAACTATCTCACTTAACAACTAAAATGTTGGGTTCAATTGTGGTTATAAGTTGAGGACTCAAGACATTGAAGATATTCCAATAGTGCCCCTATTACCATTGTGACTGAGTCACCTATCTTGCTGCTGATCATTTTTTTCTTCTCTTTCTTTCCACCTTTCCCCAATTTATTTGCTTCTCAAAGAAATCTGGTCTTCACACTAGATTCCATCAAGTCAGATCACTCTCAGCAACCGCCTAGATAGATTTGCCCCCAATGATCTATTCCCAATGATCTATTCCCAATCTAGTCCTTCAGCTCTTCCAATGGTGGGCCCATTGTCCTTGCTGTTGTCTGTCCAATTCTTCTCTTCCCATCCACCTTTCACATCATGATGGACTTCTGGAGCTCTGTCTTCATGACTGATTGATTGTGTCCCATCCACTTAATGTCCACATTCTTAGTTTTTTTCCAGCAGGATCCATCCCCAACCTGGTCCTTCATGCCTTCACCGCCATAACTGAGTCCATCACCCTTTGCTGCTGTCTGTCCTCTTCCCTTCTACCTTTCCCAGCATGATGGACCTCTCAAAGGAACTCTGACCTCAAGTTGACTGATGGTTTTTGGCCCATCAAATCACTGTTGATAGACATAAGTTTTCTCCAGAAGGACCTACGCCCAACAATGATGCCCTCATCTCCACTGGAACTGAGTCCATCCACCTTGCTCCTATCACCTTCTTCCCGTTTGCTTCATTTTTTTCCAACATTATGGACTTCTCAGAGAAACCTGGTCTTCACATTGATGGACTGATTAAGTTCCATCAAATCAACAACCACATAGGTAGATTTTCTTTCCCCAACCTGGTCCTTCAGGTCTCCCATAATGTGTCCATCACCACTATAACTGAGTCCATCCCTCTTGCTGCTGGTCATTCTCTTCTCTTTCCTTCCTTTCCCCAGCATTAGAGCTTCTGTAGGGAACTAGCTATGTTTATTTGATCCTACCTCAATAAAATAGTGTTCTAATCATCCTGTGGAATGAGACTCTTGATCTGATCTACCTTGTAAGGCTGACAATGCCCCCTTTGGTTTTTTGTTTCTGTATTTCTTCAGGCACTGGGAAAACTGTGGTTGGTGCTCACATCGTGTACTGGTTTCACCAGCTCAATCAGGAGAAGAATGTCAACACAACTCAAACTGGACAGCCAACCCAGGATGATGACCAGAGAGTCAAGAGCCACATTCTGTACTGTGGACCTTCTCACAAGTCGGTTGACGTTGTTGCTGGTAATCCATTTTCTCCATCGAAAAAATATTATTGTTTTGAGCAAAATTGTTACTTTAAACTGAAATAGGTGTGATTTTGCTAAGGTGTAGATTTTGTCAGAGTTTGTTGCAGAAAGCACAAACAGAGATTCAGCAGCATTCATTAACTTCTTTATATACATAATAACACATGAGTAAAAGAACAATACAAACAGCAGATTCTTCCAACGTGGATTTGGTTGGAATGCAACTAAGCTGAGCTCCTGTTCTCTAAATAAAATCTAGGTTTTGATTTCCTTAACTCCATGGCAACGTTCTTCTCCAATTTCATCTAAAAGTACTCCTCCTGCATATGTCCTACAGTGAGGTGCCAAAACTGGACAATTTTCTTAGTCACTCTTAGAACATAGAATAGGTGTCAGGGTTCCAAATAACATACCCGTAGCAAACAAAACTCTGAGGCAGGTAGATTCCTTAATATGTTTATTGGATATGTGATATTGGCACAGGCTGGTGAAAACTGGCTCAGAATATTCCCACAATTTTAATTAAAAGTAAAAGTTTTTCACTTTCTCAAAGCAATCAGTCAAATGGTCCAATCAGGATACTATCCAGTTGCTAGGTTCCAGTCCCCTCCTTGCAAGCACCTGCAGGAATGTCCTTGGTTCCCACGAGGAAGCATTTTGTTTTGGCTACAACACCTCAACTATCTCTATTCCCCCCTCCCTGTCCCTCTTCTCCTGTGTGTCAGTGCTGAAGTTTCAAAATCCTCTCAGTCAGGCCAGTTTCAGGGTTGACAATAGGGCTAGAAGGAACCTTGGAGGTCTTCTAGTCCAATCCCCTACTCATGGCAGGAGATCCTATAAGATTCCGGAAAAATGGCTGTCCAGTCTCTTCATGAAAACCTTCAGGGATGAAGCACCCACAACACCTAGAGGCATTTTCAAATACAAATAGTCCTTAGGGTCACAATTGAGCCCAATATTTCTGTTGCTAAACAAGACAGTTGTTCAGTGAGTTTTGCCTCATTTTACCACCTTTCTTGCTATTGTTATTAAGTGAATTACTGCAGTTGTTAAGTTAGTAATACAGTTGTTAAGTGAATCTGGCTTCCTCACTGGCTTTGCTGGTCAGAAAGTCACAAAGGCGATCACATGACCCTGAGACACTGCAGTCGTCATAAATATGAACCAGTTGATAAGCATCCTAATGTTGATCACATGATCATGGGGATGCTACAACAGTTGTAAGTGTGAAAACGGTCATACATTGCTTTTTCCAGTGCCATTTAACTTCAAACAGTCACTAAACGAGTGTTGTAAGTTGAGGACAACCTTTAAATAAACAAATGATGAATAAAAAAGCCATCATTCATGATTCTTTTCAGGTAGCCAAAGAGGCTGCAGTTTGCAAGATCCAGATATGAGAAATTATTCTCAAGCCAACAATGTTGGTTTCTTTTTTCAGAAATGCTGATGAAGATGCCTAATTGCTTGAAGCCTCTGAGGGTCTATGGAGACATGATTGAGTCAATGGATTTTCCTTATCCTGGCAGCAACCTCCAGTTTTCTGGAAAATCTCAGCGGAATACAAAATCGAACCCACATATCAGGTTTGAGTTTAGGGCAAAATGGGGTTCGGTTGGTGTTGCTAATAATAGATTGGCTCACTTTAAGCCTGTATCTTGTAAAGCAGGAGACTTGGCAACTTTAATACCTGTGGACTTCAACTCCCAGAATTCCCCAGCCAGCCACTCTCCATTCAAATATGGGATCTGTATCCCCCCCTCCCTCCCTTCCTTCCTTTTTTAGATCTGCTGTTTTTGTTTGATGCAATTTCCTCTAATTAAACAAATAAACAAACAAAAGCAATTAAAATTTAAAAGCACGCCAACAAAACAGTCCTCAGAGAAGCAACCTGGCCTTGAGGCCCCTCATTTCCAGCCTTAGCTAAAACAGGGCCCAATTCATGAATGGCTTTGCAGAAAAAGTCTGATGTTCTATGCCAGGTTTTCATAACCTTGGCATATTTTTAAAGATGATAGCTAGCCAAGTTTAGATTTATAGAAGATGAAGTCCATACATCTGAAAGCTTCCCTGAGATTGAGCAATATTCTCCTAAGGGTTAGCTATTCATGCATGGGTGTAAATCTTTTGGCATCTTCTAATCTAATCCTTTCTACCCAGGTGTATCACTTTGCACTATCGGATCCGGGAAAGGAGCAATCCTTACGCACCACAGATCCTCCAGTTTGATGAACGAGTGAAACGTGGAGAAGAGATCACAGAAGACGAAGTTGAGAGGTNACTAGCTATGTTTATTTGATCCTACCTCAATAAAATAGTGTTCTAATCATCCTGTGGAATGAGACTCTTGATCTGATCTACCTTGTAAGGCTGACAATGCCCCCTTTGGTTTTTTGTTTCTGTATTTCTTCAGGCACTGGGAAAACTGTGGTTGGTGCTCACATCGTGTACTGGTTTCACCAGCTCAATCAGGAGAAGAATGTCAACACAACTCAAACTGGACAGCCAACCCAGGATGATGACCAGAGAGTCAAGAGCCACATTCTGTACTGTGGACCTTCTCACAAGTCGGTTGACGTTGTTGCTGGTAATCCATTTTCTCCATCGAAAAAATATTATTGTTTTGAGCAAAATTGTTACTTTAAACTGAAATAGGTGTGATTTTGCTAAGGTGTAGATTTTGTCAGAGTTTGTTGCAGAAAGCACAAACAGAGATTCAGCAGCATTCATTAACTTCTTTATATACATAATAACACATGAGTAAAAGAACAATACAAACAGCAGATTCTTCCAACGTGGATTTGGTTGGAATGCAACTAAGCTGAGCTCCTGTTCTCTAAATAAAATCTAGGTTTTGATTTCCTTAACTCCATGGCAACGTTCTTCTCCAATTTCATCTAAAAGTACTCCTCCTGCATATGTCCTACAGTGAGGTGCCAAAACTGGACAATTTTCTTAGTCACTCTTAGAACATAGAATAGGTGTCAGGGTTCCAAATAACATACCCGTAGCAAACAAAACTCTGAGGCAGGTAGATTCCTTAATATGTTTATTGGATATGTGATATTGGCACAGGCTGGTGAAAACTGGCTCAGAATATTCCCACAATTTTAATTAAAAGTAAAAGTTTTTCACTTTCTCAAAGCAATCAGTCAAATGGTCCAATCAGGATACTATCCAGTTGCTAGGTTCCAGTCCCCTCCTTGCAAGCACCTGCAGGAATGTCCTTGGTTCCCACGAGGAAGCATTTTGTTTTGGCTACAACACCTCAACTATCTCTATTCCCCCCTCCCTGTCCCTCTTCTCCTGTGTGTCAGTGCTGAAGTTTCAAAATCCTCTCAGTCAGGCCAGTTTCAGGGTTGACAATAGGGCTAGAAGGAACCTTGGAGGTCTTCTAGTCCAATCCCCTACTCATGGCAGGAGATCCTATAAGATTCCGGAAAAATGGCTGTCCAGTCTCTTCATGAAAACCTTCAGGGATGAAGCACCCACAACACCTAGAGGCATTTTCAAATACAAATAGTCCTTAGGGTCACAATTGAGCCCAATATTTCTGTTGCTAAACAAGACAGTTGTTCAGTGAGTTTTGCCTCATTTTACCACCTTTCTTGCTATTGTTATTAAGTGAATTACTGCAGTTGTTAAGTTAGTAATACAGTTGTTAAGTGAATCTGGCTTCCTCACTGGCTTTGCTGGTCAGAAAGTCACAAAGGCGATCACATGACCCTGAGACACTGCAGTCGTCATAAATATGAACCAGTTGATAAGCATCCTAATGTTGATCACATGATCATGGGGATGCTACAACAGTTGTAAGTGTGAAAACGGTCATACATTGCTTTTTCCAGTGCCATTTAACTTCAAACAGTCACTAAACGAGTGTTGTAAGTTGAGGACAACCTTTAAATAAACAAATGATGAATAAAAAAGCCATCATTCATGATTCTTTTCAGGTAGCCAAAGAGGCTGCAGTTTGCAAGATCCAGATATGAGAAATTATTCTCAAGCCAACAATGTTGGTTTCTTTTTTCAGAAATGCTGATGAAGATGCCTAATTGCTTGAAGCCTCTGAGGGTCTATGGAGACATGATTGAGTCAATGGATTTTCCTTATCCTGGCAGCAACCTCCAGTTTTCTGGAAAATCTCAGCGGAATACAAAATCGAACCCACATATCAGGTTTGAGTTTAGGGCAAAATGGGGTTCGGTTGGTGTTGCTAATAATAGATTGGCTCACTTTAAGCCTGTATCTTGTAAAGCAGGAGACTTGGCAACTTTAATACCTGTGGACTTCAACTCCCAGAATTCCCCAGCCAGCCACTCTCCATTCAAATATGGGATCTGTATCCCCCCCTCCCTCCCTTCCTTCCTTTTTTAGATCTGCTGTTTTTGTTTGATGCAATTTCCTCTAATTAAACAAATAAACAAACAAAAGCAATTAAAATTTAAAAGCACGCCAACAAAACAGTCCTCAGAGAAGCAACCTGGCCTTGAGGCCCCTCATTTCCAGCCTTAGCTAAAACAGGGCCCAATTCATGAATGGCTTTGCAGAAAAAGTCTGATGTTCTATGCCAGGTTTTCATAACCTTGGCATATTTTTAAAGATGATAGCTAGCCAAGTTTAGATTTATAGAAGATGAAGTCCATACATCTGAAAGCTTCCCTGAGATTGAGCAATATTCTCCTAAGGGTTAGCTATTCATGCATGGGTGTAAATCTTTTGGCATCTTCTAATCTAATCCTTTCTACCCAGGTGTATCACTTTGCACTATCGGATCCGGGAAAGGAGCAATCCTTACGCACCACAGATCCTCCAGTTTGATGAACGAGTGAAACGTGGAGAAGAGATCACAGAAGACGAAGTTGAGAGGTGAGGACAACCAGAAGGAGAGGGTTGCAGAGTCTGATATGGAGATTTGGCCACCAGTCTCCCAAGCAACCTAGGAGAACCAGTCTGTTTATTAGTTAATATGCAGGCCTAGAAACCAGGAGATAGGGAGTTCTAGTCCCATCTTGGGCATGAAAGCTGGTTGGGCCAATTACCAGGAAATGGAAGTTCTAGTCCCGCCTTAGGCATGAAAGCCAGCTGAGTGACTGCGCCAGTCACCAGGAGACAGTGAGTTCTAGTCCTGCCTTAGGCATGAAAGCCAACTGAGTGACTTTGCGTCAGTCACCAGGAAACTGTGAGTTCTAGTCCTGCCTTTTGCATGAAAGCTGGCCGGTGACTTTGCATCACCAGTAGACGTTGAGTTCTAGTCCCACCTTGGGCATGAAAGTTGGTTGGGCCAGTCACCAAGAGACTGTGAGTTCTAGTCCTGCCTTTTGCATGAAAGCTGGCCGGTGACTTTGCATCACCAGTAGACGTTGAGTTCTAGTCCCACCTTGGGCATGAAAGTTGGTTGGGCCAGTCACCAAGAGACTGTGAGTTCTAGTCCTGCCTTTTGCATGAAAGCTGGCCGGTGACTTTGCATCACCAGTAGACGTTGAGTTC